TATTAAACAAAATCATATGTTGTTTCTGTCTATTAGCAGTAAGTAAAATTAAAATTAAATTACATTTGTTATATCAATTTTATCCGGAACAGACCAAATCAAGAGTTTTGGCAAACAGGCCAGTCAAAGAGGGAATTGAATAGTGGCCCGCCATTTAAATAAATAAACAAAACAAAAAAATCTCAATGTATATATAAAAAACTGCTCAAATCTTTCACGTTTTGATTGATTTACCAAAATTGATTTAATAGAAACATTTGCTTACCTCCATGTGAAAGATTTATGTCTTCTTAATATCCTACAAAAAGTTGATATAGAAATTCCTATTTCATTCTCTTACGATTGATTTGAAAAATAACAGAATTAAATCAACTACAATAATTAAATAAAGTAAACAATTATGCTAGTTGAAACATTTAGGATGATTAAAGGAAAGAAAAGCTTTTATAATAAATTAGAAAAAATATCTTCTAAATTTTGTAAGAGAGAAAAATTCGAATTGAACGAGTCCCAATTTAAGGACAGTATGGAAATCTCAAGACAGATTCTAACAAGACCCTCCCCCTATCTACAGCCCTAGAAATGTTTTCTTCTTAGAAATTTATGACCAGAAATCAAACAAAAGGGTGTTTCTGTGGATATCTGATATTTCCGAAGTTAGGAGAAAAGAGCCCCTAGGCAATATCAAGAAGCTAAAAACATATTCTCACAGTGTAAAGTGAGGAGGCTATTTAACAACTCTGTGGGTGGTAGCTACGAAAGTGGGGATATTTTCATCTAAAGAGCGTTTTATTGCTCTTTTGGTTAGAAAAGTGAAGAGTGACAATTATTTTATGTCTGTAAACACTTCGATTAGATTTTGAAAATCATCCGACAGTGGGATCAGGGGGCCCTCTTTAGATATAAATTTAAAAATTTAGAATTTAAAAAACAAAACAATTAATGCAATGAGATTTCAGATTTTTTGGGGGCCCCACCTGAACTCGGGGCCCTGGGCCAAGGCCCACTGGGGCCCATCCTTAAAAACGTCTCTGCAACAAAGAAACTGTTATACCTTGCAATATGCAAACTAAAGCAAAGACTATTAGTGCTTTATTCACATTTTCTGCTTTAATACTTTCTCACCACAATACTTTCTTAACAAATATTTAAATGTGCATTTATATGTCATTAAAGATTTTAAAATAAGCTTAAGTCTCTATTTTGAAAAGTTCTTAATTACATTTTTAAAGTAGGAGAGTTTGACATGAAGCTAAAAATGTGATTAAACGTTACCCTGACGAGTAATTTT